TAACCATCAAAAGTTTATGTCTGTTCCATTAACTTGTGTGAATTTAAAAATGCATTGCCTTGTAATATGAGCAAAAGCTTCTTCTCTAACAGAAAATAACTATATCCTGAGGAAACTTGGTAAATGAAGGTTAAGCAGCAAGAAAGTCTTGAAATTATCATTAGTAATGACTTTTTTTTTTCTTTTCTTGAATTAACCAGTTGGGCTGTTGCTTATCTGTTGAATTAACCAGATAGATTGTTGCTGTCTTTTTTCTTGATTTTCAATTTATTTTCTGTTGAAAGAAAGCAGTTTGAGAAGGCTGTGGTTATTTCAGGTTACTATTCACAGAAGTTTAATGTTCTTCTTATGAATCCAAATGGGAAGGTTTGTGCACTTTGAGACCATCAGACCAATTATGATCTGACAACCAGAGCATAAAAATTTTCTATTTTGCACAGTTTTAAAAAGCACCATAAAAATTCTGTGTGCTTGGATTCTATGAGATCATTTCATTCTAGATAGGGAAAGCAACAGTTTTGTCTTGAAAACTTAGCAATAATGGGCAAATTTCAACCGCAACCTGGGGCTTTAAAACTCTTATTTTATTAGGGATAGTTAGAATTTAGTCTCTGAGTAATGAGGCTCCCCAACCCCTGCTTTTTAATAACTATATCTGATTTAACGCCTCTAAAAATTCCTCTGACATCTGAATAGCTCCGTTTTACCTCATACTCATAAAACTTTGTATGATAGGTAACCGACAGCCAATACAATTGTGATTGAGTTCTGTACTTACAAATCACATAAAACTAAGAAATGGTGGAGTTATGCAATGGACTTCATTTCTCAAAGAAAACGGTCAAAGTCATGCATCTTTAAAATCAAGGCCAAAAATTTTAAAGGAAACAAACTAAATTTGCATGTGCTTTTTTAAAAAAAAATCCTAAAACCTTTTCGATTCCTATGAAATGGCCTCAAGTTGCGCCAAGAGAGGTTTAGACTGGGCATTAGGAAAAACTTCTTCACTGAAAGAGTGGTCAGGCCTTGGAACAGGCTGCCCAGGGAAGTGGTAGAGTCACCATCCCTGGAAGTATTTAAAAGACATGTAGATGAGGCGCTTAGGGACATGGTTTAGTGGGCACGGTGGTGTTGGGTTGACGGTTAGACTTGATGATCTTAGACGTCTTTTCCAACCTTAATGATTCTATGATTCTATGAAATCAAACCAGTATATTGGCATTCTCAACCACAAGAGGGCATCCATGCTTGCAACCTGATCCTTGAAGATCATATATAAACAGATATATCTATCTACCTATCTATCCATCTATCTATAGACATAGATATGGATATAGATACAGATATATTTCTTTCTGATAGGTCCCAGCTGTGGTATAAGAATACATTCGCTCTGGGAGGTTTCCTCTTTCAGAGTCCCACGGTATTTCCCACTCTTGGTAGGGGATAGCACATGAAGTCTTAATTTTGCTGTCCGTAAAGTTCTCGTGGAATCCAACTCTCTCACTGCTGCAAAAGTTATGTTAAACCTCCCATGGTTTTCACTAAAGCCTGATCCAACTCATCTCGAATTCAGAGGGGAACAAACTGATCTCAGAGAAGAGGAACACACAGCTTCCCAAGCATAGGTGTGCAAGGTCAAGTCTAGATTTTCTGAAGTCATTTATTACTCCAGAGAGAGGATTTGGGATCTCTAAAACCTGCTCAACATCAATGTGAAGTCATGACTGTCAGAGGTCTAACTCTCCCCATAATTTCTTCCACAGGCACTTCACTGTTGTGATGAGGGGAGGGTTCTGTTTGTTTTGGTTTTGAACAGGAATACATTTTCCTCTCTGATGCACATAAAACTCTCATTAGAGCCTGAAAGAACCATAAAAAGGAACTTTGAAAGCAAATCTGGCCTAGTGGTAGTAAATGATATGCTTAGCTGAAAAAGATCTCACAAACACTGGAGTGTATATGGTAATATTGGAAGTAAACCTCATCTTCCACAAAAATAATGTATAACTTCAGCACCAGAACATATAGGTTAGCACCAAAAGGTATCAATTGCTACTCATCATCTTAGATGTCTAAATGAGGAAAAAAATCACAAGCAGATATTATAAACAGCTGCACTCAGTTATTAATATCAATTACTTCATTTTTACTCTTATGCCTCTCACAGTATTTTGACCAAAAATATTTTTAGCCTTATTTTAGTGTGTGTATACTTCCATAATTTTATATTTAGAACAGAACAAAAGTCTGAGCTAATTTCTCTGTCTTTAAAGGCACACCATTCTGCTCAGAAGGAATTAGTACAAATCTTCAAGGCTAGCAGAACAGCAGCTAGGGGTAGTTTGCCTCAGCATAACCTTGAACTCATCAATAATTTTCATCAGCATGTATCAGAGCAGATACACTGCCAAAGACATCTGAAGTCTTCCACACATTTCAGTACTTTTGTTCCAGCAGCACTTGATATCAGGTAATCAATCAGGCAGCACTGACACCGGCAATGAAAGTAGAGCTTTACTGGCATTGTCATTACCCAACCCAAGAGAAAAAAGATGATAGAAATTGGGGCAATTCAAATAGGTAATCCAGAAAGGCCTTCAGTAAACTATTCACTAAATTAAGTGGAAGGGCAAATTTCGTGTGGTAACCAAATATCTGATGAGCTGTAATCCTCTCTGTTCAATGAAAAATATTCAGCTAATGCTTGGGTGCTTGTGGCTGGTTTTATCAGGAGCTGCTCATATGAAATAGCTTATACCCAGATCATTTTTTGCTGCTGTCAACTACAGTGTGATTACAATAGTTAATCCATAGCACCATTATGGGATGTTGTGAAAAAACCTGCATACCTGTTTGTTAAAAGCAAAGTTTTCTATATCCACAGAAAACAAAATATTCCACAAAATCAAGGTATTTGTAGCAACTTAAAAAGTAACAGATACGATAACATATATACCCGTTATAATAATTTCAGCTGAATTACAGAATTATAAATTAATTTACAATGTCTAGTCCTGTTTGGAAAGTGTACCATACAACATACAAGTTGCAAGTTCCAAAGTGCATAGTCATTTATTGTTAGACCTACTGTTGTAGGCTCCATGGCTTAACCTGAACTTTTGCTTCCTATCTTGTATTCAAAAAAAAACACTACTGAAAATGGCTAGACGCACTATTTTGACTGTGCTCTCTCTACCTCTAGAGAAGATTTCTTATGCAGAACAAAAATGTATTTTTCGCATGCATCTTTGTCAAAAACTGAGCTGGTTGAGGGCTAGTGACCCACCTAGTAGTTTTGTCTCACTGAATTCTTTCAATATGTACATAGATGATGCAAAAAGGTTGTGTTTCACTCCCAAAACAGGACTGGATTTTACTCAGCCAAAGTGTTTGAGCACTGTCCAAGTCCAAGCCCCTTTGAAACCAAAAGGAAAATCACTTATATTGTAACTGTTAGAATAGAAGTTAGTAGAATATTACAAGTGTTGTGCTTTTAAAACATGGACACATTTAAGACAATATACTTGTCTAGCTATTGTCCTGTCAGATACAGAAGTGTCACTATCCAGAAGTGTCTGAAGAGCCACAGATCAGTTGCTGGCGTTCTCTGAGGGATCAGATTATGGATAGATGGAGAGGGGCTGTTACGTTTCATACACTGTAGAGCCCATTCCCCACCCCACAGCTATCTTGCTGGAGAAAAAGAGTAACTAACATGAGGAATTCAAACTCTGATCTTTCTTTTTATATCACCAATGTGATACTTCATATTCTGGTGACAGTCTCAAACACCCTCAAAAGGACTGAATTTGTGACTTAAAGACACATACATGTGTAGCACCAGTGAAACTATCCTCTGTTGTTCTGCTTGCTCTACGCAGTATTGCTTTTCAAAGCCCATAAATTTCAGAGGTCTAAATGTAGCAGTGCAAGCAGACTAAACACATATATTTAAAGTGGAGTACATTCTGCCCTGTAATATAAAGCCAAAGTCGAGGCTATTTCAATGACATAGTAGTTGTGGCAGACATTCGATTTCCTCCTTTTTTATAATCTGTTTTTCAAGAAAACTAGTTGTATAATATTCTAGCTTAAAGTGTAGGTCCTCTTTATGAATGTTCTAGTAAGCACCCATAAGGCATTCCGTTTTTGGCAGGAAAGGTATGAATAAACAGATTTGGCTTTTATTAATTCATACAGATATTTTCAGGAAATAGTGCAATATATTTTAAAGGACACTGCCAATTGCTTTAGAAATTTGAAATTTTTGTCACAAATCTGTATGAAGTTTTAAAATCGCCTGATGTCTTTTATTTGGAAAACCTTTTATGTACTTTTACGTCTGAGCTCTCCTTAAAAGTTTCACCTGGCTGAGTTTCAGCCAGGGGGATAGCACATATACTGGCAAACTTATAGTGTAAAAGACAGTATGGATGTCATGTATTGATATATGTTGCTTTGTAGCAATGTATTTCTTCACCTTCCTGTAAAAGAATAAATATACTGCTGCAAAGCACCATTATACCATTATGACTGTATTCAGAAACACAGGAAGGTAGAGTTAGGCTGTGTTATTATACCAGTATATTTAAAGTGATGTAGCTTTCTATCTTGTTAAGACTTTAGGCATGTGAGTTAACAGCCACTGCATCTTGGCCAATGTGGTTCCTCATTCTCTCTAACTTTCCTGTTTGCGCACAGGCATCGTTGATGATAGCAGCAGCCGTGTGCTGAACTCTTGGAACGCCATAAACGAATTGATGTTGTGCATGAGGTAGGTAATATCCTGCAGTTTCTCTTGCACATATGTTTTCCTCTGCTCAGAGTCCCATTGACATTGCAGGTGAAAGCACAGGTGTAAATGGGAGGAACCATTAGGAGCATGAGGACAATCTGTTGCTTTGCACATCACACTCCGTTTTTAAAGCACAGTATTAAACAATCACTCTTCTCTTTCTGGAGCTATTATTTTTAAAAGGAAGTCATATTCTATTTTTTTTTAATGTGCTTTTAATAGAACCTAATCTTCAGGAAGCTACACTTGCTAAGGTGAGAATTAGTTTGCTCTCCTTTAACAAAATGTTCATCTAAAAGGGTTAATGTGAGTCTTAAATCCCAAAATGTTAAAACCAAATTACACTATACTTTGAAAGCTAATTATACAAAAGCATACAAAAAGAAAACATCAGAGTATTATTACAATATCTCTCTATATATAATATATGCAAAATTCAATATACAAGCTTCTTGTTACTCATCCATGTTTTTTTTTAAAATAATGTAAACCTTAACTTATTTAAACCAGTATAAGTAGTTTGATGTTACTCCTGGGAAACAAAGATTGTCGGTACAAGAACCTCCATAGCTTGGAGGACAAGCCGAACATGGGACTCCTACTTTATATGGTGCTTCTCCAATCCAATTCCCCCTGAAAATAAAAAAGGAAAAGGAATAATTAGTAATTTCAGAGATGAAGAAAAAAAAATTAATTAAGCATACTTGTTTTGAGTGATTAAAGTTAATGTCTTCAGTGATATCCTATAAATGCCCTGTTACTGAAAACATACATTAATGTATTTTTGTAGGTTACTGACAAACATTGATCTACCAACTCCCAAAAACCAACAGGAGAATGACCATGTCACCCCAAGCCAATGGTCCATTCCATATCCTTTAGTTTCTGTGGTGAAGTCCCAGTCGTCTTGCTTTTGCCTACAGCCAAGTGATTTTTAACTCTCTGAGCCTGGGACAGAGTATTTTTTACCAGAATTTTATTTATGATAAAATTAGCAACATAAGCATTGGTGCAAGGTTTTGCCTGAGCACTCTGGGCGAAATCTTCTTCTTAGGTTGCACTACCCTAGGTCCACATTGTGAAGCTCTGACGCTGAATTTGTGATTAGAGAAAAGGGAACATGAAAACTGTTCACACCAGTAATGTATTAAAAAGAACAGTATTTGGGCATTTGTAGGGGTCTCATAGGTATTAATGGGAGGATGAGGAGGGCTCTCATTTGGTGAATAGAGCTGTGTAATAGAGCGTGGGGGCAAAGGGGTGCAAGTCTGGAGAGTGATCATGTGAAAAGAGGTAACTCTGAAAGATCTAGGAACATCTGAAAAACACATCCAGGCTTTTAGGTGCTTATATAAACCCCAGGCTTTTAGAGATTCGTGTAACACTCGTGATGTAGGCAGAAAGTAAGTTAAAATTAGATTTTTATTTAAATGTTATGTCTCACTGAGCAGAGAACTTTCCTCTAGTTTGCATGTGACGTGGTATAGCAGTGAGTAATGCAATTATTTATGAAACATTTTCTCATCCCCTACCTCCCAGCCAATAACATTGGATCAAAAGCCCTGGTCTTGGAAGAAAGTAGGAATCTCTCAAATAATTTGCTCATTCCTACTTCTCTTCCAAATGGGTACAGCAGACTGAGTGCTCAGGAAATATATTTAGTTTGATAACAGATATGGAAATCCAGAAAGAGTTTGCTGAAAGCTGATTTCTGCTTCATTTTCTACGCAACGCACAGCTGATTTGTGTGAGTCCATTAGATAACCAGGTGCAGGGCCTTTCTAAACATTGCAATTATCCTCCTTAACTTTTTTTTTTTCCCTGACTTCAGAAGCATAGATATTTTTCAGCATTACAGCATGGCATCAGTGAAAATTCTTGGAGATCCAAATCCTAAATCATTGCCAAATTCCAATCTTAATAACTCGAGTCGGGGCTGTAATATTCACCCCGTTCTTCTTCAAAGGAGTTTCTGATATGCTGGTTACACAGAAGGACACAGCCTTTATTGACTGGCAAAGAGATTTCTGCATGTGTGCCCAAGAACTCTAAGCCCAATGTCCTTAACTCAATTAATTCTTAGGAATATAAACTTAAGCCAGGCAAGACCACTCAACATCCTTTTTGTGACTGTGCAATAAGTAGATGTGAAAATCCCGATTTCACCACCTATGAATCAAAGGTCTACTCAAAATCTCATCCAGAGAAGCAGCTTGTAACTCCAGGCTTTGGTTTGCTGTTTGAGAAACAGTGGGATTTTTAGACTGAGAAAATATAAAATGTCATTAATTCATCAACAGTGCATCAGTTTTCAATAATGCCTAATATATAAAACCATTCTTTTCCTACATATGAACATGAGAGATGTATTCTAGCAAGTTTGTAATTTTTAATATTTTTTTCAAATAAAGATATATAAAAAGTAATATTTGGGTTTCTCTTATAAACTTTGTTTTCAGCTTGTCCATGTCATAAAGCTAAAAGTCATATACAATTTTTGCTTCCTGATTTTTGCTCCCTCACATTCATTTCTTACCACCCTTTTCTAGTAGATATTAAAGACAAAAGGACAGAGAAATCTCCTTGATTTCCAAAGATGGTTTTTTCCCAAGTCAGTTTTCTTACTAAATCCTATCTTTTTTTAAGTTGCAAAATCTTTAAAAATTCTTTTACTCATGTAACAACTATAATGATGACATATTCTTGCATATTCTTTACCACAAATGGTCCTGTGCCACTAAGCGTTTATGGAAAACATGCTCAATTAATTATACTTAGATTCCTGTACAGAACTATGGCTTTGCCTAATATTATACAGTCAGAGAAACCAGCCATTTACACTGTCCACGCTGCTTTTGAAGCACTGGTCCAAACCAGACCTCAAATCGAAGCTCTCCCAGAGCCACACTTTATTGATTCATTCTGCACCCAGATGTAAACTTGGGATGATGTCTAGGAAACGCTGGGAGAAAATTCATTTCTTCATTTCAACCTAACACAGATCTTTGCACAGCTACCTGATATAGGGCCACCTATGGGTGTCTATGACCTATACTTTAAAGGACCCTAATATGGAAGGCAAGATGAGATTTGCAGACACTAAGCTTAGGTAGATGGACTTTGTAGGAAACCTATGCTATGGATGCCCTTATGCAGCATGGTCATAAGCAAAGGTATCATCTTGTGGACAACAACATGTGTTCACAGTAAATCAAGGGCCTGATCTATAGTGGGATTGCTGATGACCTGAGGAAGTCTAGCTCACCATGAGTATATACAACAGACTGAAGAAATAAAGAATTGAAAGTAAAGTGGAGTCAGCACACAGGAGGAAGACAAAAAGAATTATGATGATAATAACAACAACAACAACAGAAAACAAGTTTTTGGTTTTGTTCCATTCACATCATGTTACTTCCTTTTCTTCCTTCTATACCAAAGTCATGCATTTTCTGTATGTTCAGATGTAAAGTTAGAGTGAAGGAGCAGCCCGCAGAAACAGCACAAATAGAGGTCAAGCTGCAGAAAAAGGAATAAGCAGTCCTATGAGAGGACCAAAACATGCATGAAGTATAAAAATAAACAATATTAAAAGAAAGCAACTCACTTTGGGGCATAGTTGCATACCAAGTAAACAGCTCGTCGCCAAACAGATCCCCAGACGTTCATATTGTGGCATGTGTGGATTGCGCAGCCTATACGATTGGAAGTGGCCCAAACCATCTGAATAAATATTTATTATTGGTGAAGTCCAAATTGAAAAGAAATATATATATATATACACATTTATTTGAGAGAGAGCTATAAATACATCACAGAAAAGTCCAGCTTTGGACGGTAGATTTTGAATAGAAGAATGTAATTTATATAACCTGTGTGTAATGGGTGCACATGGGTCCATAACATCGCATGGGGCACCTGGGGTTGCAATCCTGAGGATAAGGGAAAGCATAGTCCTTCACCTCATCGTACCATGGTTTTACCAGCTGGAGAATAGATCGATACCTGGGTTCGTTTAAAAGACAGAAAGAAAAACATGTCATTTTAGATGTACGTATTTTGGAACTTTCTGCTCCTCATCCCTCTGATGCAAGTCACCTAAATACACATTTCTCCACACATCACTAGGGCACGGTATTAAGCAATAATACTCTTAAGCCCAATGAACACAGATGGATATCGATTATTGCTAGAATACTGGATGATACTTAGTCTAAGCTCTGGATCTCAAAGGCTGTTCAAAGGCTGACAAAATAACCATTTTGTAGGGTATATCTGCCTACCTTCCAGTTCTTACAGACAGGTTCTGACCCAAGAATCTCAGTAAGTAGGAAGGTCCATGGTCCCAAATGCATGTAGCAGCCCAAGCCTCTGCAGATTTGGCAAGAGTTTCATCCCAAACCTGACAAAATAAAATATCCTTAGCAGTAGAACAGAAAAAACAAATAGTGATCACAGTGCAAGAACACAAGAAGCAAGTATCTTAAGTCACAAATATACTATATAACACATCAGCTCTGTAACCTAGGCAGAGAGCTCAGGGGCAGCATGTATAGGATCTAGCAGGATTTGCCCTAACACCGGACAGAATTCCCGCCCACCTCATCAGAGGAAGCCAAGTATTCAGATCTCTCCCTTTTTTCTGGAAAAGCCCTTCCCTGAACAGGCATTCTCCTACCATTTTCACTTCTGTGTTGATGAGATCCATGTGCGGAGAGGAGTGAAATGTTGGATGGGACTCAGATGGAAGTTAAAATGAAGTAGAGGCGTACAGGGAAGAATAATTCAGCACAGGTATTACATACCCCACAAAACCCCAACACATTTGAAATAGGATCTCAGGAGTATCTATAGCCAGAGAGAGTGAGAGAGTGTGTGTGGCAGCTTTTCATATTTGAGGCCACAAGGTCAAGAAAAGGGATTCCACAAGGGCAAAGACTATGGATAGTTGCCAGGTGTGGTATGAGTTTCATCATTTTATTCTGCATGGGAGCTGACATTGCTCCCTGCCTGGAATAAAAAGATAACAGCTCTGTAAGAGACAATTTGAATTCTTAAGTTCTCCCCTAATGGTAGGAACATGACAAGTGAACTTAAACACTGTCTCCTTTATATGTTTTTCCTGCTCACTTACACGCTTGATTTGTAACTCCACTGTTTTCTCCACAACAAATAGGCTTGCCTCAGCAATAACGGAGATACCAGCAATAGAACCTACCGCACCACTGGAGCTCCAGATAAAGAGTATCTCACTGTTATATTACAAGTACACACAAATCCTAATATATCTTAGTGTTTGAGTGATACCCAAGTAGGCTCTAGATCCTGGAATTAGATGTGCATTTTGAATACCTTGAGTGGAGTTGTTTTGGTGCAGGACAGCTTTAGTGAATTGCAGGTAGAAAAGCAGGAACAGAATGTGGTAAAATTGCCTACCCAGCCCACCGCAGCTTTTTAAACACAAACCCAAACACATAAATCTTGAGTGGCTACGAAATAAAAGAGTATGCTCTCTGAGGTATGAAATAAGAGGCAAAGTCAGAAATAAACTTATCCAAGGATAAGGTGGCCCACATCAGAAATATTTTCTGTTCTATGAGCTAATGATGATTTCTAACACTGAATCCATAGTTTTAATTTTGCAAACCTGCAGAGTGAAAAGACTGACCACAGATCATGGACTAGGACAGTAATTCATGTTCTGACTCTCTCTGGTAGTTTATGAAATTTCTCTAAGTGAAAAGGACAAAATTTAGTAAATTGTATGAAATTGCTATATCATCGAACCAAGCTTTTGCTAACATGGAGTGGGTGAGGTACCTCCTAGATTAAAGCTGCAGAAGTGCAACAGAGATCAATATGAACCCTTAAGGCAAATGATCTTCCATTCAAGCGGAACCACCTCAGGGAAAGTAAGATGGATGGTGCGTAAAGCAGAGCAGATTTACTTTACACCTGTTCGTAAAAGGTCCCAGAACAAAGTCAAAGCAAATTGCCAGTAAAAAGACAAAACAGAGAAGTGTTCGGAAGAAGCATGCTAAGAAGGAATGGTCTTCAAGTCAGGGAACACTTTGACTTCAGCTCTGAAAAATGGAGTTTCTCAGAGGAGTTAGAGATAAGTCTATAACTTGGGAAAAGAAGGCTAAGCTGGAGCACTAGGGCACAGGAGAGGGGACCTGCAGCTGCTTCGGCACCATCCAAAACCCAGGATGTGCTCCAGGGCCCAAGAGGAAGAAAATTGTGTACAGACATTTGTTCTGCTTTGTATCTCTGACGTTAAGTCAATTAGCAGCATGTGGCCAGCGTACAAATAACCCTTTATAATCTCTGTGGTACATCAGTGGTCCCAAAAAGAGGGCTTAAAGAGGGGGCAACAGTAGGTACAAGCATAAAAGTGTGCCTGGGAAGTGTGCCTGAGAGGCCGGGGCCACAGTCGGCGTTTGGAGCCTGCCCAGGCCCAGGGGAACAGAGGAGCACATGGATCCAGCGCGTGGGTCCAAACACAGCTGCCTGGTGTGCATCCATAAGGGGCAGCTCCGCCAGGACTGTGACACCCCATAAACACCCTCCTTTGCTGGGATTAATCATGCTTCTGGCACGAGCGCTCCCTGCCAGGAGGCTGAACATGAGGTTTGCGTGCTTGCTCCCAAGTGACCTGGCTGCAGTCCCACAATAATCTAAATGTGTACTGTATTTGCACAAATAGCACCGAGCTCCTGATTTCCACCCAGCATATTTTTGCGTGCTAAATTGCCTCGCAAAATAGTATGTTAGGTGTTTGAAAGAAATGTGAAGACTGTATTAGGTTTCCACTATTAATGCCCTGTCTAAACTAGGCACGGCCTCCGCCTTGGACAGTGAGAGCATTGCCAGTCCACTTTCATTTCTCCTCAGCTTCATTTTCTGGTTCTCAGGAATCATCTGCAGCATTTGACTGGTAAAGTTTCAGGGGGTTGTTTCAAACTCAGTTAAAAAGTTGTGGGTTTGGCAGGTAAGCATTACTGTGATATATGGTGTGCTCTGCTTTCCATTATCACTCTTGACCACTCTCTGGACATATGAAATTTTTGGCCAACGTAAAAAAAGAGAGAGAAAGAGAAAGAAAATAACCACTGAATAAGAAATAAGGGGGAGGTGAGCATATGCAGCGTCTTTTAATCTCCTCCATTCCTTCATTAGCAGGCTGGTGAAAAGCCTTTGTACAGAGTCGCCTCCTGCTATGTAAATCATTTGTATTTCATAGGACAAGATGAAGTGCTTCACCTTCCTTATTTTATTTTGTTTTCCTAGAAGAAAAGGTGGTCTCAGTCCCTCTAGGACTAGCCCTAGATCATCGCCTCAAGAAAAGGTAAATAATTAATATAGGCTGAAGCAGAGAAATTATTATCTCATAATGACCTAAAATCTTCTAAACTGTACGAGACTGTACCATTAGTTCACCCCTTTCAAAAGAAGTCTGATCCTGAGTCCACACTTGTATTAATTTGTATCTCAGTTCAGTCCCCTGTTTTGGGCATGTAAGAGAACAGGGCAAAGACATTTAGATTTTTGAACCCATGAGGCTTCATTGTTGTACATAGATAAATAGCATATAAAGAAATAGAAAAATATCCTAAAAAGAGAAACTGAAGTAACTTGAAAGCCAGAGGGACAGTTTCTGTATGAGGAGAAATTTAAAAGCTCAAGGAAATTAACAAAGAGTTTAAACAAATAGTGTGATAAACAAAACAATAAACTCTGAAATGATGTCTAATCCAGTGTTTCTATTAAATGTTAGAGAAAGCTGCCTGACACGAACACAAAATTGCAAAAGGGAAAAAGGAGAAAGATTTGCATACTCAGTGGGTCAGGATCTGAGGAGGTGACTCATCCTCAAATGCTAATCATGCAAACTCCCAGTGCCAAACTATGCTCATTCTTTCCCTGGGGATAGCAAATCTTCATTTGCTAGGTCGTTAGTAGTTGGGGAAGCAGTCACCTTCCTTCCACCCAGTATAAAGATCCCCCCCCAAACTCTCCGGATCACTGATTTGGTCCAGCATGGAAACCCTCCCCACTCCTTAACTGAGCTGCGATAGAGTTAAAGCATCTCACCACACTTCCACTGGCAACTTGAAGTGAACATCCTTTGGCCAATTTATTTTTCTTTCCTCAGCCAAAGATTATTTTCCTAGAAAGCCGTCCGACTGTGCTCTCTGCACTGCTCCCTGCAAAACTACACTTCAAAACTACACTTCACTTGAAAATTGTCAAGCGGACTGAATACAGGGAACAGGCCAGTGCTTCTACACAGGGAGTTTCAACACCAGAGACCACTTTATGAGGCTTTATGAGGCAGCTCTGGGGTGTGCTCTGCAGTCACACAGCACATGCTGGTTGAACGTTAGGACTAAAATCTTAGCATTGATAAAGTCAGCAG